TTGTGTATACTAAGTAAATTCATTTCAAAATTATGACATTACAAATTTAATGTCAAGAATAATACACTTAACTTAAAGCCCCAAAACGAAAGAAACTATAACTTTTAGGGGATATATAACTAGTTGAGGAAAATTACAAATCCTTAGTTGAACTGAGTTGATACAAGCAACAACAGAAGAATTTATTCTGTTCATCGTGTTGACAAACACCATGGAATTTGTCGAAAAATTCACGTTTGATAATCTTCCTAAGATAGGAATCGTGAATGGCTACATGTTTTTCTTTGTTTTTTTATTCATCGATTTTAACGTTAATGCAAAACTATAAGATATGGTATTTTTTTAAACTATAATATATAATAAAAAAAACCAACCACTCTCGAAGACCTAAGACCGTGACTAAGAGGGAAATTGAAAAAGAAAAAATGGTGAGGAATTGAAAGGAAAAGGACAAGCAATTGGAGCACCGCCATAGATGGGCTGTCGTTTCTGCATGGAACACGAAGAACTAACAATCAACAACATTAAACAAATAATAAAAAATAGAAAACAGAATCAAAAGGGCCCTTTAGACATTTGGAAACATAGATATCGATCAGATATAGATTAGCCAGAGGTTTTTATATATATAAAAAAAAAACCTCAAAGTCTTTCAAGTGGTAAAGGCAAGCTCCTAGGTGGTCCACCATGCATTTCATTATTTTCTCAATAAGAACAAAGCCCTTTGATTTTCTTTCTTTCTTTCTTTTTTTTTTTTTTTAATCTCTGTTATTGGGTAATAATGTTTGGTTGTTGTTGTTAAGGCAAGAAAGACGTCACAAAATATTTGTGACAAGACAAAGGAAAGAAAATGATTTCAGGGTCGTGTCAGGGTGACTGGTTAATCAGTTGTTTTCATGAACTAAGACCATTCGGGTTTGGCACAAAACAGCGCAGTTCCCTCCCTCATCCCCGCAGCCCTTCCAGGACTTCTCTTGATTGAACATGTAAGAAAATTTGTCAACTAAATCCAAAAGTTTTTTTCAACGGATGGGTGTCGTTGTAAGAGAATCATCACCCAAAGTTAAACGTATTGTTTTGTCAAAATGAATCAACGTATGCTTTTGTGGTTGTAATGAAAGTTTTGACGCTATCACATCTTTCAATTATGCATTGAAAAAAAGATTTCTACATCTTTCTTTAATCCAAATCCAATAGGATTTGACCAGCAATGCATGTTGTTTATGTTGGGACTTGAGAATACATATTTTTAACAATTATACATGTTTGTAATTATATATGTCTTTTGAATTTTAGTTGAACTTAAATTCAAGACCTTTGATTTTGAAGTGAACTTTAATATGAGTTAACAAGTCATATGTTTGTAAATATAACTTTGTTCTTCCTATTATTTTTTTCCCTTAGGTGAATGAGAAATTTACAGATTTGTGTAATAACATATAAAGGGGGAGGTAATAAATAATACTTGGGTTTAAATATATTCTTGTAATAATCTTAGCTACAAATGGAAAGGAAAGTGACAATACCTCAATTGATGTGTCGCTGTTTGATTTATTTGGTAGGCAATTGTACTAGTACTATTTTTTTCCTTGGATAGAAAGTAGAAGAATTCAAACTCAATAATATTTGTTAAATATATTTTGAACCATAAAATCATAGATTTTAATTTGCTGCCAAAAAAACATAGATTTGTTTTGAAAATTAAGTTGAAAAAAGGAAAAATAAGTTGAAAACCTAATATATAGATGAGATTTCTTTTTTTTTTTTTTAGAGTTTAATATTTTTATAGAGGAAATTGCAATATAAAAATAAATGAAAAGATTATAAATATTAAAATTTGAACCTCATAATGATACTTTTTAAGAGTGACTTAATTAGTTAATCGAGTTAAACTTTATATTCAAGAGATTAATATTACCAATTTATACAGGTACAAAAGTTATTGGATGCCTTTAATTTTTAGCATATTTATAGCCAAACATCCCATGATAAATAATGCATAAAAATAATGGCTTGTCGATCCTAATTATTGAAAATCTTCTTATTCAAGAATCATCTTTGCTCCTAACCAATCCACTTCTATGGTCTAAAAAAAAGAAAGAAGCATTAAAATTATAGTATTGATTTATGAATATAATGATTAATGATATAATTCAAACATTCGATAGAATGATGAATATGCATTTTCAAATGGATTTAAATCTCTATACAAAAATTATTAATGAACATAATATTTCATTTTTTTTCAATTAATTTTGCACCTCAAATATTGAGTCTTATAATTGAGCTTTTAGAAGATTGCATTATGCATGGGAAGTGGGAAGCTTCTTCGTAAAAGGAGAAGTCCAGAATTAGGCATGGCAAATTCAGAAAGGTTGCCGTTTTCTTTGACACAAAGACAGAGAGGTAAGGGAAATATTTTCACATCGTACACTTAGCCTTCTCAATCATCTAAAAATTCAAACAAACCACATCCTTCAGCAAGAGGATTTTTTGTCCATTTATGTGTAAAAGAAAGACAAGAAAAAAACACAGTCAAAGACAACTCACTGCATCTTCAGTGCTTAATCAAATGTAACACTCAAAGCCATATATATATATATATATTTTATAAATATTTTCTTTCTCTTAGGAGCAAGTGAATGTTCTCTGGTTTGATAGAATCGTTTCAATGTCTTTAGTAGCTTCAAAGAAGACCACTTCCTGTTTTCTTCAGGCTATCATCCAGTCCACTATAATTATTTCTTAGGGTTTTTTCTAATATTTAGAATCTTAAAAAGATACTTATTAAAATTAATTATCATTTAAAAAATTATATATTCAGTTGATGTATTAAAAATTAGTATCAAATTATATGTCAATCGCCAATCACCGTATGTAACATGAGAATCTTTCCATATAAAACACTTTCAGAACACTGTTTAGCAACTGTGTTATTTATTTGATTAATGTTAAGGTGTTTTTGGTTTGGTGAGAGCGGGATATGTTAGAAGTTGAACTGGTTAATATGTCCGATCCATTAGGGAGAAGAAGAAGGTTAGATGACGAAGATAAGATTTTAAAACGTGCTTCAACATTCAGTATATTAAGGAGAGAGGAAGAGAGCATTAGAGGTAGAATAGTTTGTATGTCAAACATTTTTACTAATTACCTTTTATATTTTATGAATGATACTGTAATTATCTACACAACAAACATATTTATCTTGAAATTATGCGTAAAATTACGTGAAGGTGTTGATAATGTAACTGCGAAAGTACAACAATTAACCTTTTGGTTGAATGCAATTTTTTGGATGGTTTGTTTGAGTAAATCTTTTATCTTTTTGGAGCCATTGTCATTTCTTTTCCCTTTAAAAAGATTACTTACGTGATAAACTATTTGGCACTTGAATATGGCAGCTTTTATATATAAAGGGTATAAGATGACTGATATTTCTATGGACATTAGGGTTTCATTAACACCTGATAGATGTTTGCAAAGGGAAATTCTTGAATTTTGAGATGAGTTACGTAAAATTTATACAAAGATCCAATTCCTTTACAAGTGATTTATGAAGAAATGCATTTGAATGTTTGTTACGTTATTCATAGTAATGGGGTCGGCAAAGCCAAGATGTTGATGCAGCAGTGGAAGGTTACTGGTCATTACGAAAGCTCATCCGATGTTGAGTTGAGTCAAATACGCTAGCATATGCTAAAAGCTGATTTTTTTTTAAAATTTTTTTTGAAATTATGAATTAAAGAAAAATCCCAGATGATAAATTTTATTGTAACAAAAAACAAAGAATTAAAAAGGGGAATTTGAAGTATGAGATGAGATGACATAACAAAAACTGCCCGGTTTAGTAGCAGTTGAGGAAGGTTTGTTTTTGCTTTGGAGAAATGTGAAGGCAATGAAAAGAGGCAGCACCAATCAAATCCAAAACCAACTTCTGACTCACTGTTTTTGCACAATTGGTTTCAAGGGAAGAGTCAGTCCCTTCTTTTTTTATTATGAAGTGTGATTGAACGGTCAAGATTGATTGGACGGTTAGAGATCATGTTTTTGATACGTTTGGTCACCCATCTGTCATCATCTATCATTTCGGTTTTTTTTTTTTTTTTTTTTATGGGAAGATGAAGGAGCAAAGAACATGGCAGCATAACAGCAGCTGTGGGAGAGGGATCTTCCTCTGTCAGAAATCAGAATACAAATCCCCATTGCGTCAGCATCTCAAAAAGATTTGATGGCGTTTTTTTGAACTTTTTAAAGCGTTGAGCCGAGCCCATAGCGATGGATGCGGTCGAAAGACCTACTCCGTTTACTATTATCCTATACTAGATTATAGTAACAGAAACTGGGAGACTGGTCTAGAAACTGAAATTTGAAAAAAAAGAGGGTAATAAAAAAGAAATGTTGGTAGAGGCTAGATCAAGCTGTAGTTATTGTTAGAATAGTTACTGGTTTTCAAATAAATCATCACGAGGATTAAAAGATACAATTGAAATCGGAATTTGACCTAGCCGAAGAGGGAATATATCAGTGAAATTCAAGAATTTTTTTTTTGTTAAATAAAAATATATAATTAAATTTGAAGCTTAATTAAATTATTCTATGTAATATTTTTTAAAAAATAATATGTAATAAATTTGAAATTTAAATTTTATTATATATTTTTATCTTCAAATTCCAATTTGTTATTGGAAAAAACACAAAAGTAGTACAATTTTCCCAGATAGTGAACAGCTAAGACCAAAGATTTTAAGTTTATAAACCTTTGGGTGTCTGTTGTTAATCCACAGGGTTAGTGAGAGACAAGTTTCAGATTCGTATTTTCTTTTGCTGGACATTTGATCCTCTCAACTGAAATGACAGGAATTTCACCACTAATTTTATCTTCAAATCAACTTCAAGTTTGAACAGATTTTATTATTAGAGTTCCCATAAATATTTATTAAGATATCATCTCTAGTAAAGGCTTTATCTTAAAAAAAAAAAAGAAACAAATATTTGCAAGAGCCCAATGCCGGTCTGAAACCAAAAGTAGCATACAAGGGTGGGTAATGGATTCAATAGCACCCCCGATCCGATGGAATTGAAGAGGGTTTTTGCCCTCAATTGCATCGCGAGATGCATTTAGATAACACTCTACCGGTGCAATTGAAATCTATCAACTACACTAGCCATTCGGTTTCCAATAAAAGGGTTAAGGATCCAGTGATTCACATATCCCCATCTAATTAACCTCCATCATTGTCTATCCTAAATATTACTGTTACAACATTTTTGTAAGCTAGGATATAAAGAAATTTAACAAATCTTTATCATAAATCAAAAACCAAGAGTAACAAATGTAGTTTAATGGTAAAAATGCTCCTTGTGTGCTGAGGAGCATACAAATGATTATTTATCACTTGAAACTTTGTGCTTTAGAAGTTGAGTTTGGGAAAATTTCCTTGTATTCTTTACCCATAGAATTCTGTGAAGTCTCTATCTTTTGTTACAACGAAAATTTCGCAACCGTAACCCAATCTTTGGGTCACACTCACATCATCAGTTGGGAAAATTAATATTCTTCTATCATATCTCGTGAAAAAAATTGAAGAATCAAGAAGAAAAACATGGCAACTTACATTGCACTTAGTCAAGAAGCTGATCAGAAGGGATTTGACCAAAAATATCAGGACATGAATCCCACTTCCCCTGTTCTCTAGCTTCCCAATATCGACCAACATATTGGTATGTGTCACTGCCTTTATCCTTTGCAAACCACCTTGGCTTCCAACCTCTCTCTTGCATCTTTCGAGCCTGAATCCCAAACGAACATATCCATTGAGACTAAATAGACCATAATGATATTTGCTAAATCCGTTAAAGCAATCAAGAAAATGAAAACAGGGTTTTGCTAAACACCTCAATAGGGTTTTTTTAATGACCTAACTATAATTTACCTGCAATATAACATAACTGATAACAAGCATCATGTCGAGGGTTCTAAAAAAATATAGCTGTGATAGACTGATAGCTATTTAGATATTGAGCACTGTTTCGTTAACTTACATCTCGATGCTGTTCCCTGAATACCAACACTGGAAAGTTACAGTAAAGTTGTCAAGTAGTTCATTTAATACAATGAGTTATTTAGCTGAAAACTATTACTTAAGATACTAGTACATCAACTTCTAACTGCTCTTGCTGCCCAGTTATGATCGCAAAAAGGGGGTTTTCTTACTTATCCACAACAAATGATTATCTAAATCGTTTTCATGCACAGAGTCTAAGATAAAATCTCCGCTTATCTGTCCACATAATTAAGATTGGACAAAAATGTGGATCCAAAGACACGGTTTATACCGTACAATGCGAAACTTTACCTTGATGGGTGATCATATTGACATCCTAATCAGCAGTTGGGCCACTTGCTAGTTGAGTTATGAGACTATTCCAGACATGTCTTGCTAGATATTATTGTTTCCACAGAGAAGTAGAGCACTGATTTCTTAATGTATCTCTACATGTTTGGCTTAGCTCATATACTCCCCATAGAGTTGGCAGGATACCAATCATTCAGAACAAACTGAGTGAATTTAAAACATTTTAATTGATATTATTTCAAGCTGCTGCTATACCTTTATGTGCATCACTCATGGTTTATACATTTACCACATTATAGTTATTAACTTTATGTCATCAAGCTTTTATTCTCAACTAGGAGCCTAAAAATTGGAATTAGCAAACAACTCTGGTTTGTGCATAGTTTCCTAAAAAACCAAACCCTTCATGGTGATCTGAATAATAAATCTATAGTTCCGTGACACTTATACTCATGCCTAGCCAATTTGCATCATTGACACATGGAATTGACAACAAAGCAGAAATAAAGCACCAGACGTACCTGACGTTGCCGCTGCTCCAACCGTAACTTCTCTGAATTTGCCATTTCATACTCCCCATTTTCCAGATACCTTTGATCAGGTCTCAGCCTTGAATCTGTGGGAGGCAACTTTTCCTGCATACACAAAGGAGATTAAAATCAATGTCCCAATTACAGCAAAGCAGTTCATAGGGTATCTAGACAGTGCATTGGTTTCGAATCATTCCATTTAATCCCCATAGAATCAAATGGACACATTTAATTCCATCTTTTGGACCAAAAGAATTTATTAACAAAAATCAAATTATAAGAAATTAGAAGCACCCAAGGGAGGTATCCTCAAAGTACTAATTCCAATATTGCAAGTCAAGAATTGTAGGGATAGCCCAAAAAGGCAATGGAAACCAAACTACATGAATACTAATAAAATCTGTGCATGCCTCCTTATGTGTGCAAAAGAAACGACATAAACCAGAATGGAATTTTCATAACACCCACTTAAGGCATTAGATGGGTGACTAGTTTATAAATCCAGTCAAAACTATTATAATAATCACCTTCAGACCAGGAGAGAACTCATTCAATGTGATGGCAAAACGTGTTAAGTTATATCTGGTGGGATACTTAGAAGGCTTGCTCCGCTTCCAAAGCAGATGAGGTTCTGATAAAGACTCCTGTCCTTTTCCCTTTGCAGAACAATCTCCATTCACATAATGCATGCTCTCATCCCATTTTCCAAATAACTTAGCCACTGTCCTTCCATTTCTATCTTGAACTATACCATGTACCTGAAGTGCAATAAAGTTTTATAAACTGATAAATATCAATGATGGTTGAAAAGAGGAAAACAGTACAATGTCATAATTTCTAAAAATAAGAGCTGTTGATATAACTTAATAAATAGATTAATTTGAGGAAAGATGAAAGATCACCTGGTGAGGATTTCTGTCTATGATAGATTGCTCCTTGAATTTCAGTTTACATGAATATTCACGATTCCCCTCTATTTTCATAGTACCATAGTGATCACAGTACAACTTTCCCAGTATGAGATTGTATATTGATGTTGTAACCTGGCAAAAGAAAGTCCATTTTCAAATTGGATACAACAAATATACGTATACAAACATATGTTTACATAGAATTGTTCTTTAACCTTTGGAGTTATACCTTACTCCACTGGAACACTTCTCCATCTTCAAACTCTAAGGTCAAAACACCAACAGGATCCAGCTGAATTGAGCGACCCCAAAATTTACTTTTTAAATTGCTATCACCCCAAAATTTCCATCCTGTACCCTGACAGTGACATGCTACTATCATAGGATGGTGACTGACCTGACAAGAAAAAGAATAATTGTTAGCAACTTCAAAGATAGTAAAGCATTAAAACAGAGAAATAAAACAAGATAAAAAGATGAACTCAGGAAGAAAAATATAGTAAGCAGTGTGCCTTTCTTTTCCAATATCCTAAACACTGTAAGAGGCATTGACGCCTCTCCAATAAAAGGAGAGCCATTCGCATAGCCACTTCTAAACAGCTACATGCAGAAGTTAATGTTTAAGATCGTCCACTATTTACACTTGTTTCAAATTATGAGGTTCAAAGTCTTCACCAAAGACTCCTGTTTAGCTTCCCCAGTGATCTGACAATAACAAGCCATGAGCTTCATTATAGTTAGGCACCCAAACAATATCATTTTAATTGATGATCTACTAACTGTGCTATAAAGGAAAATATTCCTTACCACCCTATTTATTTGATCTGTTAAGTTTGAACCCAAAACAAGGTTTTAATTTAGCAAGTTTTTTTTACGAGAATTTAGAGCAAAATATAAAGGAAAATAAAAAGGAAGCAGCAGAAGAAGAAACACAGAGAGGTAAGCCAAAAAAAAAAAAAAATCCCCATTCTGCCTCTCTATGTACCAAAAGATATAAATTTGCAAAGCTCTTGCAGTACAGCATTTTGACAACAGGCATAGCAAACTAGGTTCAATTTCACATCATTGTAATAACCAGGTGAACTGGGGTTGCATAGATCGTACAAACCCAAAATTAAGTGCAATATTTCTATGTCTGAGATTTACACATGAAAAAGGTTTAAAGTTTTGTGCATATTGAATTTGATTTTTAAATTAAAATCTGTGTTGACCAGGTGAACCAGGCACATCCTTAGAAGTGAGGTTAATAAGCTTTGTAGTTTGAAGGACAATTTCGTGTAAATGAAGAAAAACAGAAAAGTAGACAACAAGGATAGACTATATCTTGAATAAAGACAAACCTTCTCTGAGATGAAGCGTACACCTTTATCTGGGAAGTCAGCCTCATATGTTTCCCCTAATAATGGATTAAAGGGTTTGCAAATTCTTCCTTCTGTTGAGGAATATCCAGAGACAGCAAATGCAGCCACATTAAGAATTCTCATGAGGCTATTCCCCTGCAAGTTTTGGAAGGAAATATTACAACTGTCAGGGGAATCTTGGCAAAGATTCAGATTGTCAAAGTTTATGAAGGAAGTGGGCTGCTATAAGGATTGCAACTAGCCTTTTGCACGCTCGAATATAAAATAGGTGTAAAGGAGAGACAAGAGGGGGAAAATCAGATAAAGGAAAGATGTATAACTAGATTAAGGAAGGAGGTGAAATGATGAAAGAGAAAATATAGAAACCAATGATCTGTTCCCTCAAACAAAAATAATACGGAGTTCATAGACTCACTCTTTTCCCCATTTCATAAGCACGGTCAAGTAGATATGAATATTCCAAATCCTCAAAACACTTCTGAAGAGAAGAGAGAGGCTCATTGAAGTAAACAGGAAGACAAACTTTTGTAAGGTCTTTCCCAATATTATCCTTAATCATTGACCAAAGACTTACACCCTTCTCCTTTTCAATTGGGTCAGGTAACTTTTTTCGCCGTTTAATGTTAGGAAAGTTACTTCCAACTGATTTGATGTAAGGGTTGATGTCATCTTCAGAATCAACAGCATTAAGACCATCATCTGAAGAGAAAGATGATGTCCGGAAATCAGATCCATTGCTTTTGAAAGAACTTGATGACAAAAAGTCACGAGTATCAAAGAAAGTATGGTCATCTTCATCAGTTTCTTCTTCTGCAGCATCTACTCTTTCATTATCATCATCTGAGTCGGTTACACTTCCTTCTGAGTAAGAATTTGAACAAAGAAAAAGGAAAAAAATTAATGAAAGATGGCAATGCTTTGAAAAAAAAAAAAAAAAAAGTAATAACAGTGACTTGAATGCAAATGAAACCAAAGAAGACCGTCTAAGCAATTTATATAACCAAGTAATCAACACTATAACTATTTTAATAAGTCAGCACCAGAACAGGACAAGAATGGCTGTGGCCCAATGGTCATGTAGTCTCCCTCAAGGGAGGACAGACCATGGAGGCCACATCTAAATCCTGCACCTGCCTATATTAGAGTGCATCTCCATACCAATGTAGAAAAAAAGGGGGGAAATCCACACAAAATAAGGACAAAGAACCAAGATGATGACACAAAAGTGATAGAAAGAAGAATAGACTTATTAAACACAACAACTAACGAGCAATAACAAAGATATGTGACAGACATGAACCAACTAATTGGTTTGGTAATGTAAAAAGGAAGTTCTTTATTTGATTTCAAGTTGGCAAGTGCAGTTTGCCAAGAAACCATCAAGACATGTGTGCTATACATAAAAATTGCATCAACATAATAATACACCTCTCTTTAACAAGCATTATAAGTTGTCCACAAATAATTACAGGCAATACGCAGGCACATAGCTGATAGAACAAAAAAGAACTTCCTGACTAATAGCAAACTGTTAACATTGATTATAAACACCAACCACATATCTCAGCATATAATTAACAGTCCAGCATAAGTTAGCTTAAAAAACCAAGAGTTGTAATAAATAGTTAACTCCCTAATATCTTACCGCTAAACTTGTCTTGTGTTATCATAGAGGAATCCCCTTGATCATTCAACTTGTTTTGGCTCTCATCAACCACTGTATTCTCCAGATCAACTTTTTCTGTCTACAAATAGAGTACAAATAGCAATTTCTTAGCAGAAGATTGCAAAAGAAGAAAAACCTTTGTTTCAGAAGTTAATCTTTAGGATAAGAGCAGTTACTGACTGAAAATAAGTAGCTGGGTTCACTTTAAAGAAGATTTAAAAAAATCTGAATCACAGATAAAGCCGGGCATTTTTTATGCTTGCTTGTTGCTGCAATAGCAAAAGACTACAATTTTCACTATAGAAAAAATTCAAATGAATTCAACCACTTCAAGGTGTAGCATAAACCTTATAACTTTTAGGACTCCTGAGATTCTAATGAATAACTATATAACTTAGCAACCCAAGGAAAAATTTATCAATATCAACTTCTTGCACTGTTGCAACCCTCTTGACAGGTAATTGATGCTTCATCCATTCCAAATAGCTGATGCCCCCACTATAAGCCATACAACGACAGAATTGTAGATGTAACAAAGGGGACAGGTAAGGCCTACTTGCAATGCCAAGCTCAAAACAAGCTAGCAAGAGTAACCTTTTGTTAAGTATTAATTAAAAGGCCAAAATTGAAGTTAGGAAGCTTGCAATTAACTTAAGCACAGAGGTTCCCTTATTCAGTCGGCTCCATTTTATCCCAAATGCACCACCAAATTGGAGAGGGAAAAAGGAGATTTTTTTCTTCTGAAAAGAAAGGCACACCTATAAGACAAGCGTGCTTGCAAGAAGGTTAAAGTGAAAGTACTTCGAGGTTAAACTTCAGAGCTTAGTGGTGATTAAAGTATATTAACTGCTTGTCAAGGAAATTAAAAATTCTTACATTGTGAAGCAAAAACTTCAGAGTACTTAATGGATCATACACACCTTATGTGCTCCACTGAAAGTAACCTGCCCCCAATATCACTGATCTAACCATCAGCACAACTGCAGCTGTCACTGCCATCAATGCCATCATCAAGATTGCTACATGCCCCCACAAAAAATGTCTCACAACTATTGACATCTATTTTATCTTGAATCAACCACACTACAACCAATCTTTAAATAAGTTTCCCTCACAAGACAGACATATAAGATTGAGCTGCTCTCAACTTTCATGACACAGAGTATTTGCAAGAGGCATTACAAGCAACAACATAAAATAACAAGGCATATTAACATAGAGGCTTCAAAATTACATTTTGCATTCATTGGGAGATAGATGGGGAAACTAAAACTTTTTTCTTTTAAAAATCAAAATATCATCAAAATATTCCTTCAAGTAGTGATCGTCTAATTGAAACTGGCATTAGAGAGACATTTATACTTACAGAAACCAATTACCCTCAGTCATCCCTAAAAATCATATATTTGTGAAACTATCCAAAATGCACTCAAGGAAAAGTTAAAAAGATTTTCAAGATTAGCAAACAGATATAATTCATTTACCAACATCCTTCTATAAGCATCAAAAATTTGAAAATCAATAGCAACCCTTTATGAACAACACATACAAACTCTGTCTAGGTACATAAGAAAATCTCTAAAGGTCCTCGAATCAACACTATCCCATCTGCACATTGAAGGATTTCAACAATCTAACAGAATCAACTAGCCATAGACCAACTGCTTTTTCTATATCTATCAGATGAAATTAAAGGAAGCAGAAAATCAAATGGAAGATGACATAATTGTTCAAGATTACAAATACTTATGAAATTCTATTTGAAATATAATTCAATGTCACCTATGATTTAGTGACCTAACATACAAATCCTGTATCAACTAAACCTTCTCTGATTAAAATTCAACTAACACCAATCACGAAAATACACCAGTATATCCTAAAAACACACCCCTTCCGTAGTTTCTATACAAAAGAATTAAAAAAATATAACGGATCAATGTAATTGTTTCGAAATAATCAATCAATATTTTCAAATTGAATGATGACGGACAGCAGCATATTGTTTTCTAATTTTGATTAAATATACCTCTAACTGACGCAAGGTGTCGATGAGAAGCCACTGTTTCTGTTTAAGCAACACCAGCTGGTTCTGCAACGCCGCGAATTCGGTCCTCAAAATCTGCTCGCTATCTTGGATACCCAATTCGCTTACCCCTTCCTGCTTCAGCCGTTGCCTCAACTTCTCGGTTGAAACCGCCACATTGTCCATTGGAGCCATGAGCTCACTATTGGACATTCTAGGGAACATATCCTTAATCGCCTGAAGCGCCTCCATCCACGTAACCCGATCGTCCAGCGTCTCTGCTCGTAAATGAAGCCTTTTCGTTCCCGTGAAGATCGAGAACCTCTTATCATCTGATCTGCTTTCCCTGATCGAAGAAACCTGAGAAAAATTCAAGAATTCAAAAATCAAATTTTCTTTTCTTTTTCCCTTATTTATTTATTTTTGTTTAACCGTTTTTATTTGTTTTGACCTTTAGGTGGACTTCACCAAAGGGTTTGCGACGGGTCAGGGAATGATGAGACATGGAATTGCGATGGCGGGAGATAATACGGAGAGACTCTTCGCCAATAACTTTGGATCCTTTTTCTGTTTCTTGGCTAACAACGATCCTATCAGGTCCGTGGATTTTATAATATGATAAAACTCCGTCTTGCAAAACGAACCATCTCGGTCTCCAACCTCTCCCGTAATTCACCCATTTGTAAAGCACTCCCGATATCCCGTTCCCTACGATGTCGTTTATCTTCACATCCACTTGCGGCGAAGGAGCAGGAGCCTCTCTTCCCAACGATATCCCGCTTCTCTGGCTCATCCGATTCATATCCATGCTATTACTACGATGATGCTGATGGTGATGGGTTTGATTGAACTGGGACTGGATTTGGGACGTGAATCGGGCGGACTTGGATCTGGTGGTGGGAGCAGAAGAGGTAGTGGCTGCTACGAATGTTACAGGAGGACGAGTCATGGTGATGACGTGGCCGGCTACTGGTTTGATCGGGGAATGATCCGATACAGTGGAAACACAGCAAAAAGGATGCATATGGTTTAATTTTCCTTTTTAATAAAATGAAGGAAATGGAAGATTCCGGTATTGAGAAAAGCAGACGTGGCAACGGAGCACAGCGGTTGCAGTTAAACTTTTCATGGCTCTGTTTTCTTCCTTTTCACGTTCTTCGATTAGCGTTTTGAGAAATTTAAAAAAAATGGGTGAAGAGTTCTATTCTTATCTTTTCCTTTTTTAAGAACAATTTGCGGAGACGGTTACAAATGATACTAAAATCAATAGCGTTTTGAGGGAAATGGCCGTTGCCGATTTCGGCGGAAAAAGCGGGGAGAGGAAAAAGAATCCGGTGCGTGCGTGGTTACTAGTTTGGTTGGGTAAGGACTCTCTCAAACAAGACGCGACAAATTCGTCGATTTTTAAGAAGCTCAGAAGAAGAATAAGAAACTAATATCTTCGATAAGGAGTTCAAATATGAAGCGGTCGTTGGGGAAATATAAACGAATCATTGTGGAAGAGTTATTTATTTATTTTTATGAAGAGGTTTGGTCAAATGTGGGAAGAAAAGATGAAGGGGAAGTCCGTGGCGCGTGAGAGGATACAAGTGGAAGAAGGATATTAAAATACGTGGCATGAAATGAATGGATAAGAAAGATTGACGGGAATTGAGCTGAAAATAGGCTTTTGAGACCCGACAGATTCTATGTTGTAAGATTGAAGAGGTATGTAATTAGATATAAATTTAGATATAAATACATTGAATATGACGAGAGAATTCAGGCGAGGATATGCTGGTTTGTCATTGTTGACTACTGCTAAGTAGGGTAATACCGATTTAATTCAGATTGAATTTGATTTTAGTTTTTTTAATATTATATAATATTATAAAATTTTAAAATTTGATATAAATTTGAATTGAATTTTATTTGATTTTAATTAAATTTTATTAATTTAGTTTATTTTATTAATTTTTAATTTTTATATAATATAAAATTTTAATATATTTAAAGAGATTTTGATATAAAATTATTATTTTGATTTTATAAAAATTTAAAAAATATAATTCGATTCGATTTATTTTTTTTTAATTTTTCACATTTTGATCTAAACTTAATATATATATTTAATATTCGAATTTGATCAAAATTAAATAAAAAAATTGATTTAAATCAAATCAAATATTATAATTTCAAATCAATTTTTAAATTTTTTTTATTTTTTTCTTACCCCTACAGCTAAGTGGTCCTATTTATATTCTGCTGCAGTACACCATCCTTTTCATCAAAATGTTAAATTTATTGCTTACTTCATTTTCATAAAAAAGTTTGGAGTTTATAATTGGACCTCTTTCCCTTTTCGTTTTTGTCTTTTTAATTGGGGATAGTTTTAATTTCCCAAAGACATTAGAGACAACGAACAAGTAATTATTAACCCAAGAAAAAGGATGTTAAAACAAAGAAACCTCTTTTGAAATTTGAAGGAAGGAACTGTGAGGTTTGAGTTTGAAACTGAACATTCCAATGACAGGTGGATTGCACTTTAAAATTTAGACTAGTGAGTGCTGTTTTTCCCGTCTATGTCGATATCTCGGCTGGCCTGAAGCAAATGGTCTCTTCGTTTGCCTAGGGCAAATATTGCTAAAAACATCAGACTTCTTGACCCACCTAGATAGCACAACATCATCCGTAATATCTGCACCATTGTTTCAAATGTTCAAATGTTTTTTTTTTTTTTTTAAATTTGCATAATTAAGTTCATTCATATAGAAGTGTACTAATCTTTCCTTTAATAGTGACTTTGCATTAATACATGTTGAGGTTTCTTTTTTTTTTTTCCCAATGAATTTAAAATAAATATAACATAAATATTTTATATTATATCATTTTAATAAAATTATCAAATATAATTAAATTTAAAAAACAAAATAAAAGCGGATGGAACAAAAAATAAAGTTACACTTTAATTTTATTATATTTTTGATACGATGTTATTAAATTTATTACATCATTAATTAATTTAAATATTAATTTGAATCAAATTTATTTAATATAAATTTTTTATTAAATTTTAATTATAATTATAATAATTTTTTTAATCATAATTATAATAACTTTATTATTATTTTAAATTTTATCAAAATCAATTATATTTCTCATTTAAATAAAATATATAACCATGTCGCTCTTTGATTGAAATGACTTAGCTGCGCTCCACGCGGCGCTGCTTTTTTGTTAGATGTTGTCACCAAATGCATCAACTTTTTTAAGGGAAACGGGAAAGGAGGAGAATGTTCTTCTCTGCTTTCACTTTCACCTGTAGGACTGTACGAGGGGGGCCTTCATCTACTCACTTTGTAGGAATAGGATGCCTTAAAAGCAGGCTAAAGCCATTTGCTCGCACTCTTTTTGTCTCTTTCTGTTTTTTTTTTTTTTTCAAATTCTTTATTTTTATTTATTTAAATTGATTTTTTTTACTTTTTATTTTTTTCAAAAAAAATAATAACAAGTAAATTGACAAAAACGACAAAAGCATATCCAACTCAATGCATTACATATTCAACTTTTTTTATTATATTATTTATTAAAAACATTTAATATTTTATGTTTATTATGTATAAATATTAAAAAAATTTAATATTTATATTTAAATATTACATTAATTAATAAATTTATAATTCAAATATATTATATTAAAAAATTTTAAGCTTCGATATTATTTTAATATTTTATTATAATTAATAAACCATTGATAACATTAAGTTTATAAAAAAACAAAATCCAAATTAGTAAAGGTTACGCAATTGCAACAAAGAATAAGGAATCTCCTCTTCAAAAGATCCGATGATTTTTCATAGATCAGAATTTTAGCTTTTTTTTTTAATCAAAACCATGAGGAATATTATTTTTTGAAATACGAATATTTTTATTTTTCCTTATAGTTAAATATGATTTTCCAATCCACATGTTGAGCGGTAGTTTTTTATTACCACACTAATTGTTAACGTGCACCAACAGACAGAGGATTATGGGTATAGCGCTAAGTTTGGGTTTTGACTTTGAGTCTTTTGACTGGACAGCAATAAAAAAAGCCACAGATACTGAGTGAATAACACGTGGATGGCGCTCACAAAATCATGATGGTTTCTATTTTCTGTTGCCTCGTACCCATAACTATAAACCGTCCTCGTGAGCGTAAAAAAAAAAAATTACGCTTATGATTTCTGATCGCAGCGTCTACGCTAGTGCCACGTGGGGTGATGTGTCTTTTTGAGGTGTACTGTATACGTACTCCCCAATGATCAATGCTTTATTTACTTCATCATCCACCGTTCGTTAGATACTACATTTTTCCCCATTATCAAACGACCATATAAGCTGCAAAACTTAAGAGCTGACTTTTATTTTGGTACAAATTGGGGGAACCTAAATTTGTGAGTGAAATTGGAACCTCAAAAAGCCTGTCGAAGGAAAATATTGGATGGAATTTTTTAAATAAAATTCATGAAATTTTTTATTAGAAATGATTAAATAAAAATTAAAAAAATCAAAATTGATAGGTTAAAAAATTAGTTACATTGATTTAATGTACAAAATTTAAACTATTTTAATAAATTTTAATATATGTATATTTTTAAATATATTTTTTAATAAAAATATTAATAAAATTTTTATTATTAAATAATTATCGATAAAATTTAAATTATAAGTAATATTTTTAATAATTTTTTATATATGATTGATTTTCATATTCAATTTTATCAATCTATTATTTTGAAATTTTTATTAAATCATTTTTCTAAAAAAATTTAAAATTTTATAAATTTTACTAAAAAATTTCATGTAATTTGGACTTCTCTTGAATGGCAATAGATCATATGACGCAAACTCTTTTGCAGCCTTATGAGGATGACTAAACCTGAATGTAAACTCCATTGCTGGTACTGTAATGGGGAGACAAATTCTGCTGTATGGACCACCTAAAGTAATCTGATGGTTGTAGCCCACGGGCAATTCCAATAATATCGAGTTGAATAGCCAAGCCATTTTGATTTAATCTAGTAAATAGATCGAAATTAAATAAAAAAAAAAAATTAAGATAAATATTTTTATTAATTTTTTTTTGTAAAATATTGTTAAAATTATTAATTTTTTTAATCATTTAATTTAAATGATACTTAAATTTAAATTTTATTGAATTAAAATTGTGATTAAATAATTATTCATAATAAAAAATAATTAAAAAAATCAATTATTTAATTAAATTGATTAAATCGAATCGATTTTGATCAATTTAATTATTTATTAAATAAAAATCGATCAAGTTGATTATTGATTTTTTTAAACTAAATCGATTGAATCGATCACCCTTAACCAATACCTAAATTAGGCTTGAGTCGAAGGGGGAAAAGTGGGGGACGGAGCCGGTAAGCAAACATAGAGGCAAAGATGGGACAATTAACCTACGGCCATAGGACAGATAATAATCCACTTAAAATAACCATGTCTTCGAGTGATCCTAGAGGTAGACAAAATAATATTAGAACTATTTATCTCTTCAACAAATAGGTAGCAAAGCAGACACCAAATTTCTAACAAATGATTGATTAATTCGGTCATATTTGAATTCAACATTGCATGAGATTGAAGTTACTTAAAAAAAAAAAAACCTTCTGAGTATTAGGACATAAGTTATAATGTAAAAGATTGAGAGTATCCTGAGTTGCTTACATGTTACAACATGGCAGTTTGTCTCCGGTTGAAGGTGCTACGGAATGTTCTTCAAACGAGTTTTCTTCTGACCAGTCCTTTGAAGAAGTCAAAACTGTGGACACAAGAAAGGCAATATTATAATTACTGACGAAATTGCAAACAGCTTGAAGGCACAGTAAACTGCTAGAATCATGAAATTGATGTGTGAAAGTGCATGTAAACTACTAAGGCCAATAAAATGGGTGCCTTGGCATGTGATATATTCAAAGAAGATAGAAAAAGGGAATCTAATGCTCTCAGGATGCAGCAAAAAAAAGCATATTCTTTTCCAACTTCTTAACTTGATGATTAAAAGAAAGAGTATTTAGAATGTGTAGCTAAAAGGTCATAATCCTTTGGACTTCAAGGAGAATGCAACTCCTCATTCAGTAGATATAGATGTACTTATGCATGCTCTCATACTTTGATATATTATAACCCTTGAAGCTAAAATGTGATGGATGGTGGAGAGCCCACATGTTAAGCATGCATTGACATGCATACATAACATTGGGGAGTGAGAGAGAGAGAGAACTTATGTTTTTCCTTTCCCTATTGGCCCATTTGCAAGCCAGGGCCAGAACTCATGGACCACATACTTACTTTTGGGCCATACATGTGATGTTGGGTCGTCAGAAATCTTTGCCTAAGTGATTTCAGTCAAACTTGCACCATTTAATAGTGTCTCGACGTTTTAGGATCCGGGAAGTGGAGATAGCTTGATGACTTCACTTAGATACATTTTTAGAGAGTCAAATCAAATATTAATTATATGTTATTTTAAATTTTAATTTAAAGATTCTAGTTAGTGTTTAATCTTAATTTTTTTATTTTGATTTTCTTGTTTTCTTAAAAATGAAAATTTTCAAAAAAAAATTAAAAAAATCAAAAAAATTGAAAAAAATGAAACAATGTTTTGATTATAATTTTCCTATTTTCTCAAAAAAATGAAAATGAAAAAAACAAAAAATTAAAAAAAAAACGTGTTTTACATTTCATGCATATGTTAATTATGTCATTTCATGCATATGTTAATTATGACATTTCTTGCATATTTTAATTATGTTTTTTATTATATACTATTGCTCTTTATTTTGTTCTTAATTTTTATGGAGCATTTAAGATAAGGGTAGTTTAGAAAAATATCAAAAGTTTGTTTCTTCGCACGCACCCACATCTGCATTGTAAGCATAAACGCCATATGCGAGCTTTAACCCTATTTAGGAAGAAGTGAAATAGCTACGTCTCGTGAGGTGTAAACCTTTACAATGATTAGTGAAACACTTCCACTTAGATTGAACTCTTTCCGTTCGTAGCTTGTAATGGGTAACGATTAGGATGTCACACTAGTTTGTGATGGGCAATGATGTGAGGAACAATTTAAGAACCTTAAATGCATCAATTCATAACCTAGTGTATAATAAGCTTTACCTTAAATAACTCATGTGAAGGAACACCTTTTACTTTTCTCATTTTCATGTTACTATTAAATTGATAATTTTACGTTTGTTGCTCTTTATAAAATGACATAAGGAAAGATTAGAAACAAAAAAAAGTAAAAAAATCTTTAACTCATTAAAAAATTGGAACAATTGTTTGTTAATTTGGTTTTTGTGTTGCATTCTTTTAGTTTCGATACTAATTTTTTTGTGTTTTTGTTTGTTTGTTTACTGCATGCATAATTCTTTAAAAATAAAAATATTAGGGATATACATTCTAGATAATTTATTGATAAAAGTTCCCATGGTGTCTCAAGAGTTTCGAGTAGGGTTTTTGGTAAGTAAGATGTTTTGGGAAGTAAAAGATCAGTAAAAAAACAAACAATAGATAAAAAGGGGACTATTTAACAGAAGGGTGTGTTTCAAAATTGCCGGAGTTGGTTTATTTGGACTTGAAAAGCAATGATGTGATGGATTTAAAGGGTATCTGAAATCAATGGAGTCCAGAAAGAAAGTCAACTTTCACAACAAATTATGGAGGTATTGCTGTATTGGTACTGTTGAAACCCAACAATCAAATGTTGAGAGTCGTCATAAGGTTTTGGAATCTGGCATATTGGTGCTTCACATTCAACAAAGAAAACCTAACACCTAATATAAAAGAATACTTTGCTTTGTTACGTTTAAAGCTCCCCAAGCCCAATAGAGTATATTGGAGAGCATACAAATTGACCAAGTATAAGAAAAAATTGGCAAAGATAACAAGGGTCAAGGTTCAAGTGATTGAAAAGAAAATGGATCCGATGAAAGGGTATCATGGACTTTTTTATGAGACGTCATGTTTCAGAGTTCAAATGAAGATCGAATTATGGATATGTTTGCTTTGATTGTTTACGGTTTGATGATCTTTCTAAGAGCTATAAGATATATAAATGCCTTAGTGGTGGATTTCTTCATGCAGTTGAAACAAAAGATTAACCTTTCATCGAAAATTTTGGCAGAGACCATTAGATCCTTGAATTATTGCCAGAGGAAATGAGAAGGAAAATTGATCTGTTATATTCAATTGTTATATGTGTGGATTCAAAGCCATTTTTGAAGTACTAATCGAGCTCCATTGTTAATTTATATGAGATCATTAGCATCGTTAGTCGAGTTCCATGCAAAAGAGTGGCCTAGGAATTTTTCAAATGAATAGTGGATGATTTTCTTTGAAAGCTTAGAAAGAGATATGGGTGACTTGGAAAGCATCATGGATGCCTTGAGTTTCTATTTTATACAATTGTGAAAATCAGTCTTGGATTCCATTACCTAGTATTTGGGGAGCCATTAATTATGCGCCATTGATGGTTAGTATATGTCCTAGCAATTTATCCCAATGACACAAGGATTAGATTAGATAGAGTTTGACTATGATATAGAAGGATGTATGGCTAGAGTGCGCATCATTGCCAAAGCTCGGGGGTTTACGGTAAGGTTAGAATTGGAAAGAAATATAGATGATGTGACTTCGAGATACCTAGTTTGAAGACCCAAGTGAATCGATGATTTAATGCTGTTGGCAAATCAGGAGATAGTATAGCTAGTGAACCCGTGGGCCAAACCACCACCATCAGATTTAGAGATTGCTAGAAGGGAGTTTGAGGCCAAGACAAAAAAATTAAAGAAAGAAAACCAATGGTTGTAAGAGAAAATAAGGTAGCTCAAGTATAGAGAAGGTGTGTAAAAAACCATGCTAGAAAAAATGACAAAAGAGAGAGATTTGGCTCGAAGTGACTTCAAAGAGCTATATTTGGAAAACCAATGATTAAAGGCTTAGTTAAAAGACAAGGTAAAAGAAAGCATAGATCGGAACAAGATAGAATAACTTTGGGATGAAGTTCATTTCTAGAAGGGTAGGGCTTGAGATAGCAATGAGAAAATCAACATGATAGTACGAGAAAAAAAAGATTTACACAAAATACTCGCAGCACACAAAAAGGAATTAAACAGAAACCAATGAGAGAATGAATAATTGAAAGAAGAGTTGAGATGTGAGAATAAAAGGCATTTGGATACTCAAGGGTAAAAAAATGCACTTGGAATAAAAATTAAGGCCATAGAGATGTAGTTGCAAGAAAACAAAGATTACATTACTTGCCTACATAGAGAATGGCAAGAAAAGAAAGTTGAGTGGAAACAAGTATGCAATCAAGAGGTAGAAGCCTGCAAGTATTGAAAGACTGAGAGTAAGAGGAAACAGAGGTATATTGACCACTTTAGTACTCAAATCTAAAATGTAGTGAGACAGGTTGAGGTAATGATGGAAAAGGCAGAAGCTTTGAGGTAAAAGGTCCTCTTTACAAGTAGTTATAGTCAACTTCTCTTAAAGTTTTAGAGGAAACAAAGAGATAGTATTAGCAAGTCTTAACATTTTTATGGCCTTAATTATAGGACAATTCATGGAACTTGAAAATTTTGGAATGAATGAGAACTTTTGTTGATTTAAATTATCTTGAAATGAATATTCCTCCTTAAATTTAAAGTATGCTTAAAGGTGTTGATGAAAAAGAATGATTGTTGCGAATATTGCTTTCAACAAACTTTTGAGGCAGAATGAATATTTTTAAATAACCTTGCCTAAACATAGAAGGCAATTTATGCTCTTTCTCAACAATAATAATAAAAGTGGACTTGCATAACATACATCGTTGCTTTGAATTCATTGTTTTTCATGTTAGCTAAGGACAAAGAATGGTGATTGTAAGTATACTTTCATTAGACCTTTAAAGTAAAGAGATGTTAAAGCCAATAATAAGATTCATATCTTGCGTTTCTAACTTTTGGGTATCAATAAAAAGCTTAAAGATAGTGCATCCTAAGAATCATGAAGAATGAGCATGCTAATCAGATGAGAAAAGTAGAAAAGGTATAAGAAGAAACAAGGGAGATAGTTGGGCAGATGTAGTAAAACATGGATAAGCAAGTCGCAGAATTGAAACAATTATTGGCAAGATTGATTAAATGAAAAGGGATTGTTGAAACATACGAGGCAAATTAGGAAACAACTGTTAAGGAACCATTGTATCCATTCAAGTTCACATATCCACATGTTCAAGGGCTTGAATGCCATAAACACCTCCAATAACTCATCAACTTTATACTAACACTTCTACAAAGTTGTCCCTGATTTATATAAGTTTTAACCCTAAGCCAATTCCTTTTGACTCTATCATTGTACCTGATCTGAATGATCCAAAAAATTGAAAAAAAATGATAAAAGGTACCTGAATTGGTAGAAAATATTGAAATGAAGAATAAGTTTGATTTGTTGGAAGAAAGATTGAAAACCATAAAAAGGTATAATATGTATAGAAGTGTTAGTGCTAGTGAATTGAGTGTGTTGCCAAATCTAGTCATTCCACCCAAATTCAAAGTTCTGACATTTGATAAGCATGATGGAACTGAGTGCCTCAAAACCCATTTAGTTCAATATTGTCAAAAATGGTTGCATATACCTATAATGAAAAATAACTTATTCATGTATATCAAGAAAATTTTATTGGGATAGCAGCCAATTGTTATTATAGTTTGAAAAGCAATCAGATTCGTACTTTGAGAGATTTATCTCAGGCATTCTTGAAACAGTACCAAA